GACTGAAGAAGGCGGAAACGTCTGCGGCTGCCCTCTCAGGCCGCGTCCTGTGCGGCCCAGTCGTGTGGCAAACAGTTTACATCGCGGAATTCACGTGCACACCGCATCACGTGCTGGGCGCAGCGTATATTTGCGTCGCAGGGGAGAATGCGGCAGCGTCCCTCCTTCTTCTTTTCACGGGTGAACAGGCGGCGGGTGTTCTGCCTCTTTGCACCTCAGCGAATTGCGGCGCAAAATGCCACCGCGACGAGGCAGTCAATTTCGCCGTGAGTGGGTGATATCTACGTGTGACTACGCACACACGGAGTTGTGGGGATCCGAATGTCATGTGCAATACGAGAAGAAGAGAGACACCTCGTCGCAGTTGTTGTGTGTGCTGCGTAATTTGCACGGTTTGCCTAGGGGGATCTAATTTGCCCTCGTTGTTTGTGTGGGAGGTGTGCGCCGCGTGCCGTGTGTGTGGGTGGCCCTCTCTCTCTCTCTCTTTTGTTGTTGCGGCTGTGTGGGGTCGTGTCTCTGCCCGTTTTTTTAAAAATAATTTCATTCTCCCTTTTGACTGCTGGTTGAGTATTGTGCTGCAGTTCAACTCAAGTTAACCACCACGAAGGAAAACTTGTCTGAGAAGACGCGAGGCGGAATTTCACGGCACCGAGGAGCCCCCGCACAGCGTCGAAGGGTGGAAGGAAGAGAGCGCGAAGAGGAGGAAAGGGGAAGACGACCGAGGCTGGAGGGACTCTACGAATCCGTCTTTGATGCAACGTGGAGTCACGTCGTGGGATTTCCCGAGGGCGAAGGGGAAGACATGGTGGTGCGAATGGAGGTGAGAGAGGGCCAACGGCTACAAGAGTTATGGGAGTACACGCAGACTGTGCGTACTTTTTTCTCAGTGGGTGGTGAGGAGCAATTCCGTCCACCACGCCCACGACTCATGATCCTTTCCTCTGAAAAGCGATGGCCGTACTCGCTGGAGCATGCAATACGTATTGCCGACTGCTGCATTAACATTGAGGTGCATCGGGTGTAGAAGATCGTCGAGGGCGATCTAAAAGGAGTGTTTCCCCCTACAGAGAGAGAGACACCTAAAATGGGGCGTCGTCTTTTGATTGGAGCCCCCGGGATAGGGACGTCAATGGCGGCTGGCTCCTACCTCCTTTACCAGCTGCTGCACTACGACGCCACGAAGCTCCATGTGGTTGTGTTCTGCTTTGGAAGGGGTTTCGCATACTTGTTTGACAAGAGGACACGAACGGTGACAATATACGTGGGTGAGAGTAATATTGGAAGGGCTATGATAAATTTGGCTGGGAGTGGAATGAAAGGGTATATTATCATCGATATGGCAATACATTTTCAAGAGCCATCGAATGATGTTGTGCCCTCCCCTGAGTGGGGCATCATTATGTTGTCGTCCCCGAACGAAGATAACTTCAAAGCATGGACGGAGCAGGCGGAGTATTGGAGAAGGATGCACATGCACATGCATGACGTCGGACCGATTCCACGATGCATCTTTCAATTCAATGAGTATAAGGACCGCGTGGAGGAAATCGATAACGTCCTGGAAGGTATCGACGCTTCAAATGCTGTACATTATGGGATGATTGGAGGTGTGGAAGAGTGGCCCTCGAATGACGCACCTTACAAACTTGTGAAAGCTGTCAGAGCAATAACACAAGGCGGTCTTGAGGAGTTTGTTAACCTGCCGGTCTGTTTTTCCATTGAAAGCAAACTAATTGGAAGGTTGCTCGAGGTGGATGAGGAGAATGGCATTATTTTTCGACTATTGAAGTGCAGAAAAGAATTATTGGCAGACGCTTCGGAGCGGTATACTCCGAACGCATTCCTGCGTAGAGGCTTTGTGAAAAATATAATGCCGGACCTCAACGGGTTGCCTCCACCAGGACGTCGTCGGCGACAGAGATGTGTGCTGCAATCGAACCCCGAAAAGCATCCAAGCAGACCCGTTGCATTAAATACGTACCGAAGAGCAGAAGTTTTCCGCTTGTGGACGGCTTTTTCTTCGTTGGTGCACCGCGGAGGACGATGGTTGCGGTGCAGGTGAGACGGCGAGGGCTGAGCATGGCACCCAAGCCAGCACGGTGAGGCAGTTCAACAATTTTCTACGGAGTTATTTTAATGACTGGGAAACTTTTGCGGAAGGCTTGTCGTGGGAGATTATTTACGTGCAGCATGAGGGCAGTACGGTAATACACGCGTGGCAGCAATGCGTTGTCGTCGCGCACGCAAATGCAACGGGCAGCAATGAACGTGAGGACCCTCAGGCTATTGCGGCATTTTGGAATCAGCAGGTGCGTCAGTGCCAGGTAGCGGTATCAGCTGAAAATTTCAGAAGTGAACGACAAACCCAACGTGGGCGGCAACCAGAGGGAGAAGGAAAAGGAGGAGGGGAACAAGCAGCTTGAGTTTACTGGTGAAATATTTTAGGGAGTATGATATATTGCTAAGTGTGTTTGTGTGTGGGTAGGAGGCGTAATTAGGGACTCGCTCTGCCGTGCGCCAAATGATTATTATGGCCAGCGCTACCACAGCAGCACTTTTTTTTTGTTGTGGTTGTGTTGTGGTTGCGAGTAAAATTGCGTGGGGAATGATGGCGCCTTGTGGGTGTACGCTGGCAGTATTCCATTGGTGATATCCCCTCGCTGTTCCCAGTTTGTTACTGCAGAGAGTTTGGGCGAGAGGATAAGTTTTGCATGCTGAGTGGGCTCACAGGCGGGAAAGCAAATGCGGCGCCTACCACAGCCCAGAGGTCAGGGGCAAACCGAATTATTGTGATTGCTTTTGCGTCTTGGCGTGGTGTTTTTCTCTTTTGTTTTTTGGGTGCCATCGTTTTTGGTTGGCGTGCCGCTCCAATGGGGGATGCCGCATGCACCGCTGAGAGCCTCGAGCAAACGCCGTTGGCGTCTCTCTTTTGTTGGGTTGCCGTCCTGGGCGCATGCGCCTGTTCCGTCTTGGTCGGGCTGCACGCACTGACCGGGCAGCCTGAGACTACGGCTGCGCTGGCGTCGCCCTCGCTTGTGAACGGAGCGAAGCAGCAGGAAAGGGGGCTGCCGCTATTATTTCGCTAGGGTTTATTTTTAGTCGTTTTTTATTTATTTTTGTTATTTGTTTTTTTTTTTAAAATTATTTAGTCGTCCCC